GCAGACGGAGGAGGAGGAGGAGAGGAGGAGGCGGAGGAGGGGCTGAGAACAAAGAAGGGAAAGAGGATGAACAGGCAGAGGGGTAGAGAACAAGGAGGAGGGGAAGGAGGATTAGAATGAGTACAGAGACATAGGGGTGGAGAACAAGGAGAAGGACGAGGTGGAGGAGGAGGAGGAGAAGCAGACGGAGGAGGAGGAGGAGGAGGAGGGGTGGAGAACAAGGAGTCGGCTGCACACAAGAGTAACCCCAATCAAGAGCGGGAGAGCGCCTCCGTGTTCCGCCACAGGAGGCTGTACGACCACATGATCAGGCTGGCGCGCTCGCCAGCCTACTCCGCGGCGGTGGCGTCTCGCCCCCCAGCCATCCACCCACTTTCTCTCTCTCCTCTCCTCCTTCCTCCTCTCCTCCTCCTCCTCCTCCTCCTCCTCCTCCTCCTCCCTCCTCCTCCTCCCCTCCTCCTCCTCTCCTCCTCCTCCTCTTCGTCCTCCTCCTCCTCCTCCTCCTCCTCCTCCTCCTCCTCCTCCTCCTCCTCCTCCTCCTCCTCCTCCTCCTCCTCCTCCTCCTCCTCCTCCTCCTCCTCCCTCCTCCTCCTCCTCCTCCTCCTCCTCCTCCTCCTCCTCTCCTCCTCCTCCTCCTCCTCCTCCTACCCTCTCCTCCTCCTCCTCCTGCTCCTGCTCCTGCTCCTGGTCCTGCTCCTGCTCCTGCTCCTGCTCCTGCCCCTGCTCCTGCTCCGGCTCCTGCTCCTGCTCCTCCTCCTCCTCCTTCCTTCCTTCCTTCCTTCCTCCTTCCTTCCTTCCTTCCTTCCTTCCTTCCTTCCTGCCTTCCTTCCTTCCTTCCTTCCTTCCCTCCTTCTCTCTCTCCCTCTCTCTCTCTCTCTCTCTGAATGTCGCTGATGTGCCGTCCCAGCCGTCAGAGCCTCGCGGGCCCCCCCTGGCAGACTGGAGGAGGCCGATGATCGCGTGTACTCCGAATCCAACGGCGACTCCCCGCGGCTTTCCCGAGGTCGGGTTGCGAGACCCCTCCTGCTGATGCAAAGGAAATCCCACAATTGTGTTGTATCGTTACCCCATGCCCCCGATCTAATATTGACGGGCTGCGGCGATCCGTCAATCGCTCGAACGGTCCAAGTCATGCACCCAACTGCCAAAGCCAATCAACATTGAAACAGAGGCACGGGGGTTGCTTCCAGGTGTGCGCGAATACCCCAGTTGCGCGGGTAGTGAGGGAGTCTGTCCATCAATCGTCCTCCCGGGCCTCCAATGCCCTTAACAAAATCAAAAGGGGGCTTTTCGTAGTTCTGGGCGGTCGGAGGGCGTTTTCGGGCTCCAGGACCGTCAAGTTACACCCTCTGCGGCAGAAAAATTGCAGCGGCTCTAGAATGTTCCAAGCAAGCACTGTAAGTGGGTACTGAAGACCCTAAAACTTCAAGAGAGTACTGTGTTACATGAGCTCCACTGGGCCGGATCCGGCCCCAGCATGTTCATGGGCCCCACGTCGATCCCACGTGTCACAGACGCCGTGCGGGGAGCAAGCGGCTCGAGCCGAGAGGAGGGCCGCCGAGCAGGGGGTCCCCCCGCGAGGGCACAGGGGGGAGGAGAGCGGCGGGCGTCGCAGGAGGAGGAGGGGCGGGGAGCGAAGCGGAGGGGAAGTAAGATTACCAGCCTCGAAATTATCCCTATCCCTAAGATTGACACGCCAAAAGGCGATGACAATCTTAGGGATGCGCCCTCGAAAAATGAGGGGAACCCTAAGATTGGCATCGTGATGAGGAGATGCCCAGCATAGGGATAGGGACATGTTCCAGGCTGGTAATAAGACGAGAAGGAGGGAGGGACGGAGGAGGGGAGGGGGGCGGAGGGCGGGCTGCATCGAAGCAAGGGACAGCGAGGGCCCCCTTTCTCAGAAGCGGCCCGTCCCTACGGGCAGCCCTCCCCTCCCTCTGCTCGGCGCTGCCGTGTGGCCTCGACCTCTGCGACGGCATGTCGTCGCTTGCCGCTGTGGACGACGCATCGTCCGAGTGCGTCGACCTCGGGTCTGTACGACAGGTGCTTCTGTCGATGGTCAGGGCAGCCAAAAACACAGTGGTCGGTGATATTCGGCCTCCTCCTCCACCTCCACCTCCTCAGGAGGAGGAGGAGGAGGAAGAGGAGAAGGACCAGAAAGCTGCACCACAGATGCTGCAACACACACTTCCGTCTCAAGTTGCCTCCTCAGAAGTCCACACAAGCAGTCAGTCATTCTCATTCCAGGAAGCGCCCCCTTGAAAGGCGAACGCCAAGTGGGATTGGCCTGCCAGTCAGGCGAGAGCCCCGTTTTGAAAAGGAATTACCTTGCATCAGTGTTGCGAACAATGAGGAATCCCACCAGCCCTTTAGGGCGTAGGTGGTCTAGAGGGCTTCCTCTTCCAACCCCCTTCTTCCCGTTCGGGAAGGGGTTTACCCCTCCCCGTAACCCCTCCGTGCCGCGACGCGTTGGAACGTCCAAGATGGCCCAAGACGG